TACTGGATCGACGTGAGCCGGAGGGTGTTGGAGCGGATGTTCTTTAACGGGACGGGACGAGAGGTGGTGGTCAATGGGATTTTGCATGGCGAGGGCCTGGCGGTGGACTGGGTTGGGAGGAAGCTGTACTGGGTCGACAGCTTTCTCGACTGCATGAAGGTGTCGGAGCTGGACGGCCGGTTTGTGAGGAAGTTAGCAGAACACTGTGTGGATGCTAATAACACATACTGCTTCGAGAATCCCAGAGCCATCGTTCTGCATCCAAAGTTTGGGTGAGTTTACCAGCGATGCAAGTCATTTTCAGATCTGTAAAGCCCAAAACACACTGCACGATTTTAGGCTGTCCCAGACGAAAGATTGTCATCGTGAATCAATCGTGGAGATTTCTGTGATCCTGGATCCTAATCGGCGATCCTGTGTCGTACAGTGAGAGCGGTTCAAAGACGGCCATTGTCACGGTCAAAGATAGCCCACGATATAGCATGATCATCGCACAGTGTCCGATGCGCATCGCACTGCTGCTACGGTCCACGTTTACTGACCAACCAATAAAAATGCGACATGGCACTAAAACATAAAACTGCTTACCTCAAGCTATTATGCCTTCCTCTTTCGCCGCTTTCACTTTTATCAGCACACATAAAAACTAGGGCTGTGACGATAAATTGATGCAGAATCGATTCGTGGATGGATTCTGAGATCTTCCGAATGCATCGCGATTCTCTCTGGAATCGATTCTGAGCTTAGATTTTAACAGCAGATGGCGCTCTACTCTAGTTTTTATGCACACACTCAAATGCTCATGAAAAAGAGCGCTGAAGAGCGCTTGTGCGTTCGGCTGAGTCTGCAATTTCACCTCGGCTCAGAATGCTTTTATGACGCCAGCTTAATGTAAACACAGCCCACTGTGAACACCCTTGTAATTCGCTTCAACCTTTTCGAATTTTATGAATGATTATTTTAGGTTCAAGTGTGTGTAAGGATTTGAAACCAAGCAGAGT